CAGCCAGTACTGGCCGACTTTTCGGCTTTATCCGACAGTACTACGATAGTACCGAAGACTTATGTAGGTTTCGATCCCAGTACTCCTCTTTTAATATGTTTAAACAATTTTTAAATCCTAGCACTGCACCGCACGTCACAAGAGTAAAGTACCTTTAACGCTGAGAATAAAAAATCGTTTAAACTTATTAAACGAGGAGAACTCGCGTCGAAACCTACATAAATCTTTGGTATTATCGTAGTACTGTCGGATAAAGCCGAAAAGTCGGCCAGTACTGGCTGTTTAGAGGTACTTTACTCTTGACGTGCGGTGCAGCGCTGAGGACTGTACTCCTCTTTTAATAAGTTTAAACGATTTTTTATTCTCAGCGCTGCACCGCACGTCAAGAGTAAAGTCTTCGATACTATCGTAGTACTGTCGGATAAAGCCGAAAAGTCGGCTAGTACTGGCTGTTTAGAGGTACTTTACTCATGTGTGTGTGTGTGTGTGACGTGCTGTGCAGCGCTGGGATTAAAAAATTGTTTAAACATATTAAAATGGCTGGTGGAATCACTAAAACTTATCAGGAACTATAGAACTCTTCGAGTACTAAAAAACGGCGCAAAAAAAATTAATTTTTTTAAACTTGAGGTGCCCGCTCTTTTTTAAAAATTTATTTTAAAATATTTACTGACCGGTACTCTTGTTTTAATCTATCAAGAACTCTAGTACTCTTCGAGTACTGTAAGATTCCGTAAAAAAATCGACTTTTACGAATCTTGCGGTGCCACGCGAAGTTAGCACCACATATTTTTTTTTTAAATCTTTTGGCCTAAATCAACGGTACTATTAATAAAACCAGGAACTGTAGAACTATTCGGGGTGCAAGCAGTACTGTTATTAAAATTTCCGATTTTTGGAGTTGAGGTGCTAACTTCACAGAGACTATCCTATAGGCTTTTCATTCCTATGGGCATCTCTTCCGCAGTCCCATAGGTACTTATACTAACTTGAAAGAATAATATATATATATTCTATAGAAATAATTAAAAATAGTTCAAACTGAATATAATTTCACATTATGAATTTAACAGAGTGTTTATATATATATTTTAGTTTAATATTCTTATGGTTTCCACGGGTGCTTTCTATATAAAGATTATGCGTTTGGCGGGTTTTCTCCGTGTCTAGATCCATTCTTGAAATTCCAATATTTCGTATTAAATTTCCTGTCATCCTATATTTACATGCTGCGTAAATCCTATAGGTATCTATTGCAAGAAATTTAGAGGAAATAGGCACAACAGAGAAGCTATCAGCCTCAGAGCTGTGTGGCTCAGTGGCAGAACGGAAGTCCACCAATTCGGAGGAAAGACCGGGCCTGGGTTCGAGACGAGGAACGCCCTGATATTTTTCTCTGTTGTCATCAATTGTTGTCTCACTGTACAACCTCCCACAGAGGCTGTGTTCCAAAATTTACTGTCAGCACTGAAAATCTATAGTGCACATAACGTAAACTATAGATTTTCAGTACTGGCAGCAAATTTTGAAACAGAGCCAGAATCTTATAGTCTTCTATAGGAACCCATGAAAAAACCCATGGGAATTTACTGCAAGATAGGAGTCTTCTCCCATGGGGACCTGTCGAATTTACCGTGGATACCTATGGTTAGGCAAACCCATAGGAAAATTCCCCATGGGAATTTGCAGTAGGGCTAATTCATTGGACAGGTGATATAAAGCGAATCACTACAAATTGGATTCAGGATGCCCAGGATCAATATATCAAATGTATGGAAATTATTAAGAGAGGCTTATGTTCAGCAATGGACAGGATAGGCTACTTCAATGGCTGCGTTCAGCAGACTCAACAGTTGAGTGAACGCTCGCTGTTAATGGTGTATTCTTCTAGATCATCCAATTAGACTTTCAGATCTAAAAGAATACATCGATAGTAGCAAGCGCTCACTCAACTATTGAGTCTGCTGAACGCAGCCATTGATTGATTGACACTCCGCAGAGATTAGAGGTTTGTTTGCATCGCATGTTCCAACATGCTCCAACATGATAACGTTTTTATGGCTTCCACGGATATTTTCTTCAAAGATACCAGAAGTGCGGGTTATTGCCATGTCTTTATCCATTGTTTAGAGCAACGTTTCGTAAACCTGGTTGTTTACTTCATCAGGAAGAGGAGTGTACTGATACTGTATTGGAATATGAGTACGCTTCTTGCACTGATGAAGTGAACAGCAGGATTCGCGAAATATTGGCATTAACAATGGATAAAGACACAGCGATAATCCATAAACCTTCTGGTATGCTCCAATATGCTTCTACCATAATTCATGGAGCTTGAAGAAAAGTCGAAACGTCTGTAATTACGTTTACTATTTATTAAGTTTGGAACTTTCACACTGATTACCCCACAAAAACTTTCATTAGCCCTTATTTATTCTCTTGTATTTAACATTTTCGAGAGTTGTTTCTTTGTTTTTTATAAATAGAAGTGTTTATATCTGAAGGAAAGGCAATATACCTGAGAGATCACGTTCCAATTGAACAAGCAACGGACCCGAAGTGACTGTCCGTGCCTCCTCCATGTTTGCGACGTCATACTCGATTGTGAGAGATGCGATCGGTGTGTCCGAGTTCCTTCTAAGTGCGTGTTGTGCCTCCGCTAAAGTGAGTCCCCTCAATTCAGTATCGTCTACTGCCAGTAATCGATCACCGGGCCTGACTCTACCCTCTTTGGCGGCTGGACCGTCCGCTTTTACCCCCGTCACTACCAATGCTCTCGACATTCCTCTACGAAGAGTTACACCGAGACTACCGTCTTCGCGCTCCACTTTCACTTGTGCAACTTTTGATGAGACGCTAGAAAGCGATGACAACGCGCCAAAAATATTCACTTCTTGATCATCCAGTAATAGGAAGTTATGAGGATGGTACTGTATCTGTGTTAATGTCTCTTCTGTTCTTGAATCGGAACTTGCAGATGTAGCAACACTTCCTGGCCTAGCACGATTCTTATGCGAGCGCATCGTAACCAGTCTTAATGAACTGAACATCTTTATCAACTTCTATTCCGATTTGAAACCGTAATAATTCAATAGATACATATATATTGCCTAAAAATCAATCTATTTAAAATAGTTATCATTATTTTTCCAGAAAAAAGATAATCTTACTAACAATTCCACTAGCAGTGCACTTTCTCTTTTATTTGCTTATAATTTTACACATATGGCATTCCAATTTACATAATTAAGTGATTAATCACGAATCCCTTACAATTATAATACAAATCTTGTAAAAGAATTTCTTTTTTTACAGTGTAATCTCTCATTTATACTAAATTACATTAACTCCGGATCTACAATAGTGTTTTAAGCCTTAAGCCATAAGAAATGGACGAATCACAGTCGATTATTCCCCTCGGATTCGATTGTAATTGGTCAATTTCTTACGGCTTAGGTCTTAAAACACCTGTTGTAGATCCGGGGTAATAGATTATGTACATTTTAGATGCGTTTGCTTTTCATGCACTTGCACTCATAATAAGCGCTATTTTTAACCGTTTATTTTTGTTTTCCAGCGTTGTAAACGCTCACATGACATCAAACAGAGTTGTTTACTTTTGACTTTGTACCCAGGCAGATCAAGTCAAACTGACATTGAAATAAACCGGAAATGATTGAAAAATGACTTTAAAATAAATAACGATACATGTTAAAATAGAAATTAATTTAATAATCATTTTAGGGTCATTTTGACATTATTTTTATATCATAATGACTTGTTCTGCTTAGATGACCAATTTATAAGTGCAATATGGCGGATGAGAAAGATTAATTCTATTTTCTTTACCCAAGTATCAAATATTTTGTCAATTAATGATAATGAAGAGAATTGTGATCTTTAGAATAAAAATATTGAAATTGGTGTTTCTATATAAACACCTGATTGTAAGTAAAAAAAAAAAAGATACCTCGTTTGGAAAATTATATGAAAAATGTAGTATGTATCATGTTACAATATGGCTAACAACCAATCAGGTTTCAGTAAACAGAGAAAGAACGATCTTATTATTCCTGCCTCTCACTCTAATCGTCTTTCTACCCCCACCATTGCCATCAGCGGTCCATTCTAGATGTCGATGGGCTACGTCCTATAAAGTGATATATTATTTTATCGCGTATGATATATTATTTTAGCTTTGTTGACCAAATGTTAAACAAAGATAAAATGATACATTGTGAGCAATATTGTGCTTCGCAAAGAACTAGGGTAGTGATAAAAAGTTTAATAGCGTTTTTCACTGGCAGAGCTAGCGCGCACTCAGTGCACTTTAAAGCCGTTGTACACAAATCGACATAACAATGTACGTTTAATAAAAATATAGAAATGAATTAAACCACGAAATCTTTAATATATTTTATTGTGATATTTAATAAAATATACACATTGGGTATTTTATTAACTGCGATCTCTCACTTTTAAGGCCCGTCTACAATACACGGAGTAAGAAGTAAGAGTAAGAAATTGACCGATCACAGTCGAATGTGAGAAGAATAATCGACTGTGATCGGTCAATTTCTTACTCTTACTTCTTACTCCGTGTATTGTAGACGATGCTTAACAGTCAGATTAGGTTAATATACAACAGCTTTAAGGGTATATCCACACAAACTTGCATAGCCGCATAAACATATACATAAAGAAAATTATCCAATTGCAGTTCTCTTTCAAAGTCGTACATAAAATGTGATTGGATAATTTTCTTTATGCATACGTTTATGCGGCTATGCAAGTTTGTGTGGATATACCTTAATGTGCATTGAGTGTGCACCGGTTCTGCCAGTGAAAAACGCTATAAGTCACATTTCAGATTTTTAAGTTTCAATTTCATTTTCAATAGAAAAATTCATATGTATTTATTATACTGTATTTAGGTCTTGTTGGCCTCATTGAATACGCTATTTTGCGTATTGATTTTATTTTGGGTGCGTTCCGAGTTATGCATGTAGCACGTAGAGTCACTCGTCACTAAGGGTGCTTTCCAATTGTTTAACACATCTTAACACAAACGTACACAGGAATGCACGAAGTGTAAGGTTGTGCACGATTCAGTTGGAACAGAATGTGTATGCTGTGCACGGTTGAGATTCGTTTCGGATGGAGTTAGGTTAAATGTAGCTTTTTCCGCCTGTATTAAACAAAAAAAGTAAAAGTGTATGATAGATGTACAGTCACTGGGGCGCTTCCGTGACCGCGGTTGGCTCCGGCTATGCCTGCTTCTGAGCTGCCTGCGCGCGCGGAGGATATGTGGTCCAGGATGATTGGTCGCAAAGCACAAAGACAACTTAACTTTCAGGAGCGAGAGGCTGCCAAAATACCTGCCGTGGGCCGTGCACGTAAACCGCTGCCAACCCCGGAGGGCAACAAAAAAGTAAGGAGGCCTCCACGGTCTGCGGCAGTTCAAATAAGTTGTCGCGGGGACAAAAAGTACGCCGACGTTATGCGACTTGCCCGTGACAACATCGACCTCGCGTCTATGGGAATTGAGGCCCTCAAGCCGAGAAGAGCTCGGACAGGAGTGCTGCTCCTTGAAATATCGGGAGGAGCTGCGGGCGCGGATAAGGCTAACATTCTTGCGCAAAGACTGCTGGACCTTACCGCCAATATAAATGATAATGACGTCGTCATCTCCAGGCCGGAGAAGATGGCGGAGCTACGGCTCAGGGACCTGGAGGCCTCCCTGTCGAGTAGAGACATATATACGAGATTGGCAGAGCTGGGTGAGTGCTCCCCGGTCGACATACGGCTGGGTAGCATCGCCGAGACACCCAGGGGGCTGAGCTCCCTATGGGTCCGCTGCCCACTGAGGGCGGCCGTGAGGATCGCCAAGACGCCAAGAGTCCGCATCGGCTGGACGGCGGTACGTGTTGAGCTGCTGCCTGATAGGGGGGTTCACTGCTTGTGGCCACTTTGGACGTTTAGTTCTTGTTTGACAATCATTTGTGTCGTCATTTTGTAAAAATGGAAAAAATTGAATATCGTGCTATAATAAAATTCTTGCATTTGAAAGGCATTACGTCTACGCAAATTAAAGTCGAGTTGGACGCTGTTTACGGGGACTCTGCCCCATCATTTGCTATCGTGAAAAGATGGTTAGCTGAATTTAAACGTAGTCATACCAGCTTAGCTGATGATGAGCGTTCGGGACGGCCAACAACTGCGACCACCACCGATAACATCGAAGAAATTCATCAAATGATAATGGACAACCGTCGAATTAAGATTAGGGAGATAGCAGAGGCTGTTAGCACATCAAAAGAACGTGTTTGTCATATATTGACTGAAGAATTAGGTATGCGCAAGTTAACTGCGCGTTGGGTGCCGCGCTTACTCACTCTAGATCAAAAACGCATTCGAATGAACATTTCTAAGACTCTGTTGGAGCGGTTTAAGCGAATCGAGTCGGATTTTTTGCGTCGATTAATAACGGTTGACGAAACTTGGGTCCACCACTTCACTCCTGAAACGAAAGAACAATCAAAACGGTGGACTGCGAAGGGTGAACCTGCTCCGAAGAAAGCGAAGACGGTTTTATCGGCGGGAAACGTGATGGCGACTGTTTTTTGGGACAGTCATGGAATTGTGTTTATCGACTATCTTGAAAAAGGTAAAACAATAACAGGGACGTACTACGCATCATTGCTTGACAAGCTGAACGCAAAAATTGAGAAAAAACGACCGCATTTGAAAAAGAAGAAAGTGCTGTTCTATTAAGATAACGCAAACGTCTCACACTTCGACGGTCGCTATGGCAAAAATTCACGAATTGCGGTTCGAATTAATTGACCATCCACCGTATTTACCAGATCTGACCCCCAGCGACATTTTTTTGTTTCCTAGGCTCAAAATTTGGCTCGGAGGACAGAAATTTTCATCGAACGAGGAGGTCATCGCATCCGTAGACGCCTATTTTGCAAAGCAAGACGCTCAGTATTATTTGGATGGATTAAAGGGGTGGGAGCATCGCTGGAAAATATGTATCGACTTAAAAGGAGACTATGTGGAAAAATAAAATTGAATTTGACCGAAAAATTACTTGTTTCTATGTTAGGCTCAAAACTTTTCAGACGACCCTCGTATAAGTTATATATCCTTTCAGATTAATAAAATAATCAATTCATAATATTTCTTGGCATTTTAAACACAGTCAAAACTCCTAAAACCTAACCAATACTGAATTTAGAAACATCACCCAAGTGCTTCCGCGTATCATTTTATCCTTGTTGTTCATCGAATTTAAATAAGGATAAAACGATATACGGAGATACTAGGGTGATGTTTTCGAGCACAGATCTATAACCTAATCTAATCTTAACATCAATACCCTACTGGTACCCTACCAGAACTGCGTTAAAAAATATAAGGCACAAAAAGGGGCTATTTATAAGGCTCTGATAAGGTCTGCCTGATAGGCGGAAGACGTTCCGGACGTTACATTAGCCCTCAGGGCCTGGTAGGATTTCCTCATTATTGCCTGATCAGGCATCAGGATATCCTTGTTTGGACACTATTAGGATCCATCTACAATTTCTACTCGGGATATTGAAGCGAAGCGCTCCGAAAAGTACCGAGTCTGCACGAATTCATAAAAATGATTACTTTTGCTTCAACGTTCAATAACTCGATGAAAAAAATCGTACGACACTTAATAAAAAAGCAAATTGAAGGTAAAGATTCACTCTTTCGATTGTAAACCATTTTTGTGTAAATTTTACTTCATGCCATAGACCTTTGTAAAGTTCGTAAAAAATTTTCGGATTTGACACGAATCCATTTGTATCTGTATAACTCCGTAAAGGATCAATCAGATTGAAATATCAATTACCGATTTCAAAAGTAGAGATTTCAAGCTTCTGAATGCTTTTTTAATTTTTTTGTCTGCGATGATTTTTTACCGAGTTATAGTATTCTGTATATTGCGCAATTTTGAACGCGTTCGAAAGTGCTTCCTGTTTTTTGTTGAGTAGTATATATGAAATCATAAAATGTGTCTATATATATATGTATATATATGTATATATATATAAAACATTGTTTCCTGGGTATATATTTGTTAGTTTGATTATACTACAATAAAAATAGAATTTCGAAAATGACTTTCCTCTCTTTTTCTTTTTAATTATTATATTTTGATCATATTAATATTTTTCGGTTGAAATGTAGTCCTACACAAAATAAAAATAAATTTGAGCAATTAATTAATAATTATATTGACATCAATTTTTGTGCATAAAATTTAATACTTTATTGGTTTAAGTACAAATATTTTAAATAATAAAATATTTCAAAATAGATTTCTTAACTAATTTAAGCAATGAGAAATAATTTTAAAAAATGTGATTAGAATGTAGGGTATTATAAGCAATAACCATAAAACCGTTTATATAACCGATAACTGTTTATAAAATAATATTATTATGAATAAAACGGTTTATAAATAATCGGTTATTTTGAAGTAACTGTTATAACCGTTTATAAAAAATAACCGTTTAGCCCATCACTGTATCTGATCAATATAAATGTTGTCAAAAAGATGGAACACATGCAGTTAAAAAAATATGTTTTTCCTGGTGAAAAAATTTCTCTGAAATTATTCCATATTTTGGAACATTTCAGAAATTGATGAAAATTTGTTGAAATTTCATCGAAAATGAATTTTTTTTAAATTGCTGATATTGAACTGAATATTCTCTCAAATTTTGCTGAAATGTTCTAAAACGTGGAATAATTTCAGCGAAATTTTTCCGCAAGAGTTTTTTATAAATAAATCTAAAATAGTTCTACTTCAACGAAGAAAACTTGCAACAGTTGCAAAATAAGTATTTGTTTTATTAATAGATATACATGTACATAGCCGGATGTTAGTTTGTATTGATAAAATAGATGAAGTTCTCAGCAAATATTTTAGAAATATTTATAAAATATGTATTAGAAATATTTATTTATATTTACTATAAACAGTACATAAAATATCTCGTCTGTATTTTATTAATATTATTTTGAATAATTCTTATAAATATGTATAAAATATTTATTAACATCAAACGAACTAAAACAGTAATTGGAGATAAAATCTGGTCTATATATTCGACAACAAAAAATTTCGTTAAAAATAATCCGAATATATTATTCACACATGCAGATGAGGGAAATGTGATGATTGCTGTGGATAAGGCCGAATATCCCGGGAAATAATTATATAAAATTATACATAATTTTATATATTTGTATATAGATGGACATATTTTATATATAATTACATATAATTTTATTTATGTAACATTACGTAAATTATATATATATACAGGGTGTTTGAAAATTATCGGCTAATCGATCAC